ACCTGAGGCTAAGATTTGTGGAATCTAATTTATTTTCATCAGAAAATAAGTAAAAAATTTATCTCATGATGTGAGTTAACATCACTGCAAATTCGAATTCCGATTTAATTCGAAAATTACTACACTGTATGGTATTTTTTATATTCATTGATAAGAAAAATCGTAAAATTTACGATATTGCATAATAATTTTACTATCTTATTAATTCGTAACTTATGTCAGTCTTGAATGATTCTTGTCACTCCATATTTTGATCATTTGAATAACTTCCACAATTGATTATATATGAAGTGAACCTTCTCCTCCTTCTTCTTGCACTTTAGGCATGCTATTTTAACACGTTCGTAAAATCTTGAATTTGCAGTTGAGGTTTCTTATTTTTTTACAAGTGTTCACTTAAAGTTTTCTGATTTTCACAAAAAAAAACAAAAATTTATTGCATTAATTAAATGAACGTAACGTGACCAATAATTGTATCTTTCATTCGTACAGTCTTCAACTGTTTTTAAATTGAATGAAAAAGTCATTGAACGATAATTATTGAAAAAAGTATGTGAAAATCGATTCAAAATTGTAGTTAGAATTTTCAAATACGAAAAAAAGCAAATGAAATATATATAATTTGTTTTAGAATGATCAAAAAAGATCAACAGATAATTGAAAAACATTACAAACTGTGAACAAGAATAAATGTAGTAATATTTCTCAATCGTTTTTGGAAAACCACCACAAACGTAATCGCTCCTTTCGTTTGTATGGTCAATTTCGTGTTACGAGGGAAAATGACCGAGTGCACTTGAGAGATATGTAATATCAGTATAGCGAGATAAAGAAAAAGGTTTATATAAGACTTTATATAATGTTTTTGCATGAAATAAAATCACCACAAAAATCGCAAGAATTCTGAAGCTATATAATAACCAAGAGAATTCATTTCCTGCCAAAAGTTCTTAAGATTTTGGAGAATTATTGGTTATCTCCAATTGTACTGATAGTTTTTCTTTTTCTATTGGACGATTAAATTGTTCACGTAAAAGAAAATGCTCTAAAAGAAAATGGAGAAAAGAGAAAGTTCCAGTTCAAACGGTATCTGGGCTATGTACAAACGATTGTGAACTAAAATTCTTCTTCAATACTTGGATAAAGTGCAAAGCAAAACATTAGATAGAATAACATTTGACCATCATTGTTAGACAAAAATATTTTTTGTTTTATGATGCAGCGAATTGGAATATGTGAATGTAGCCAAACTTGTATTGAAATATTATACTTTTTTTTGTATATTATTTGTTTGATCAAACATTGATGTTTTCAAAACAATAGATATGGATTGTTTTTTATGATTGTAGATCGGCGACTGATTGCACGTGTTAATTTAAAGAACATTGATTGTTTTAATCTATTTATGGAATTTTTAGTTGCATAAGGATCTGTATTGCATTCGAGTAGTCCTGGTAGGAAGAAGGACTAGTCTATTTTTAGTCCAGAACTAGAGTCTAGTTATTTTTGGCCCAGATATGGACCAGTCTTACTCTTTGCCATTCAGGTGGAGTGTTCCATACATGTTAAAAACATTTGTGTAAGATGAAAAACATTTAAATTTGTGTTTAACCAATGAAGATATTTGTTCTTCGAATATGTAATAAATTGAAATATAATAACACAGTATGATTTGAACTATTTTCCAGTATAAAAATCAACAGTTATTGAATTAAGTAACAAATAAATTGTATTATTATTATTATTTATTATGATTAATAATTAGTGTTATAAAAATTTATTTCAATCAAGTTAATTTTATTTAATTTCTGAATATAACTAACTGAATAATTGCCTCGACTTCACAATGATCAATTGCTCATACATTTTTAATTCACATATAATATTCAATAATAATACGTTATCCCATCTTACCTATCGTCTTATTTAATGCTTAATCATTGTATTATCTTGTTTTAAAATTTATGCAGAACTTAAAACTGAAAATAGCTGTTAAATCGACTATTTGAAATTATTATAAAGTAGAAAACTATCTGATGCAAATATCTTCTGTTAATAGTAGTTTCTCTTTATGTAAAAATTTTATACCAAAGATTTCTAAAAAACTATAGTTTTTTAGAAATCTATAGATACAAAAAATAGAAACACTAAAGAAATAAAGTTCAAAACAAACAATTACGTTTATTGAAACCAAATAAAAATTTTTTTCATTTTTCTAAAAAAATGTTTTAAAAAAAAAAACTACCAACAATTGCAATTCTTTAATAGCATCTTGATTTCAGTCTCCTCAATTTATGTTAACATATTATCTACCCACATGTCCACTTGCTAATTTATTTACACTCGTCTGTTCATTTGTAATTATTTTCATAAATAATTTATTCCATGAACAAAATAAACTTCTTATAATCAACGAAAGCATAAAATGAAATTTTTATTATGAACAAATCGTATGTAAAGATAAATTTAAAAAGTTACGTAAGAAAAAAAGTTGAGTATAAAAATACCAGATTGGAATTTAAATGCCTCTTATTCTGCGTCACTTAATACAGACCGGAAATTCGCAGATCGGCAAGCAAAATAAATATTTTATTCACGTGTTATAATGTAATAATAATATTGGTAAAGTAAAGTGTCGCATTATAGAAGAACATATCCTGACATATGAAGACTTCATGATCAGAAAATTCTCAAGGAATGTGAGTTAAATCATTGTTCAAATGCCAACTACATAAAAATGTCTCTGGAGATGTGGAGCTCAAGATAAAGATTTTGAACGTCTGGTGATTTACGAAGTCGACAAAGAGAGTAAATAAATGCTATGGTTGTAGTAAGTAAAAAGAACATGACAGGATCTGAAAGAATTATATGCTAGACTAAATGAAGAATCAATTATTTGTCGATCACCTGATTTTTTTTGTAACTTTCATTTCTTCTGATTCAACAACGCATTGACAGTTACTTAAACATAACTATAGAATTGCGGGTATTCGAGGTCAATTAATAGCATATATATAAATCCTCAGTCATTTCAGTTCAACCAATAACAGTAACAATCAACTCAAGGACTTAAAACAAGCCATTAAAATTTCTTTCGTCTAGAATGTAAACAATTGTATTTTCAACTACTAGTGTCTGATTGAGTCAGAATTTTTTATTCTTTAATTAAAATGTCTCTTTAAATTGATTTACCTCTCATTTTTAGGTTTTTTTCTTGTAGAAGTTTAGATCAAATCAGAAAACAAAATTTGCTACAAAATTAATTATATATGAGGAATATTTTATTTGCTTAAAGTCACGAAGTAGAATGTGATTAAATGAATTACTAGTGAGCAAATAATGAAGTAGAATAAATTTTAATAGATAATTATTATAGAAATAAATATTTTTATATAATCTGAAGAATTAAAAATGGGTGAAAGTTAATGAAGGTAGCTGGGGAAGATATTTTCTAAAGCACTGTAATTATGAATAAATAAAAATGTGATTTTAAAACGTTATATTTTAAGTACCATGAAAAAGGGAGACAGTAAATGATCAATTAAACTCTATCAGAGGCTTTTATTCCAGACTACTAGTCTGATAAAACGTAATACATTTTATAAAGTTGATATCCATTCTATAGTAATGAGCAGAATAATTTTCTATTTAATTATCAAAAATTAACAGTAGAATATTAATATACAATCCATTCTTTTGTTCTAGATTTTACGACTAGTTTAAAAACTCATCGTGTCTACTCAAAAATAGTTAATTATGAAAAGATTAATCGTTAAATGTAGTTTTTATGATTCATAAAATTTAAATACAATAAGATATTCATCAATGTTCTACTAAAATGTTTAGTCATTATTCATTGTTGGCATAATAAAAAGAATTATTTCTGAAACAACAGTTTACTCTTTTGGAAGATATGATGATCAGTATTATCAACATTATTACCAGAAAATTGATTTTCAACTCTTGAGGAAATTTGTGTATTCTATTTTGGTATTACTCATGAATGTGAATAATTCTAGAATGCATTTTTTTAATAATATTTTTTTCTGTTAAAGAATGATTGTAATCTAGAAATAAAAATCAATAATATAGCAATAGTCATATCAGTTAACCCACTTGTATGGTTTTATGTAATTGAAAAGACAGAAATAGTATGTTTTAAAGAACATATGTTTTTGAAATGTAAAGTTGTCAACTACTTGAAGAAAGTAGTTATTGTTGACGAAACATTGCAAAAAAAATTACCATCAAAAACTGAATTGGTTCAGAAGTATGGCATAATTAAATAAATAAATACCATTCTAAGTACAAGAAAAGAAATGAATTTATTAAGTTTATTTATAAATAAATATAAAATATCCCTTATAAGAATAAATTGTTATTCATTAAAATAAAGTTGCAAACATCAGTAGATAACTATTACTGATTGTTGAATTGCAATATTTTGCGTACATTGTGACTCTACACATCTTTTCAAATTCTACTGCTGACTGCTGATTATACTTTTAATGTTAATTAATATTTGTTTGTTTCTAAATAATTATATTATATAAATAAAGCCTAAAGATTATGAAATTTAGGACTACAATGCTTAAAAGTTTTCAATTAATCAGTTCATTTTCAAGCTAATGATTCAAATTGATTACTTCACTATGTTTTATGTTGAAGAATGAATTTAAGGTAAACAGTTGTGATAGTAGATTCCCCATTTAAAACTTTTACTATTCAATAAACTCTACATATTTAACAATAAAACTAATTGTTTAATGTGAGAATTGGGACCATTTATTTATTATTAAATGATGAATAAAAATCACGAAAGTATTCCATGTAAGGATTTAAGAAAAGTAAATTTAATGAATTAATTATTTTAAAACTTTTACGATATATTTATAATTAACAGAAAAATAATTCGAACCTATAAAAGTTACAATGTAGTTAAAATAATTCCAACTAATGATGTTGTTGACCATGGTACTGAAACATGTTATGTAACTCACCTGCTTCTAGATAAACTTCAACATTGAATCTCATGGCTACGTGATGAATGGAGATTCCAGCAGCTCCATGGATCCCAGAAGAAAGTATCTGCACCAGTACCCCAACAACTAGTATTAACCAACCCCATCCTCCTTCAGGGTAGTAGTGCTGCTTTAAGGTGAGCAATTGGCGCAAATCTGCGACAAGTTTAGAGTGAAGCCTGACTGGACCATTATCTTGAACACTTCCAAGACCACTATCATGTACTATTGATAATTGTGGTAAAGATCTGCTTCTATAGAGTAACGTAGCCACTGGCATTTCCCTTTTTTCTTGAACCAGTTCTGGACTCTGAACATAGTTCCCTTCATGCGATACTGCTTGCCTGTTGATTCTGAGGTATTTACTGCCTATTTTGAAATGTTCTGTGAACGGATAATGAGACTGTCCACAATTCTCACAGTTCTGGAGTGATTCACACGGATATGTGTAGATCTCGTTGTCCCTGTGGGGCAACAACTGGTTTAAACTATTTGCTCCTGGATATGGCGAGTAGTTATGCCGTGGTGCCAACTTGTAACTAAGTTCTGGTAAATCCTGAAGCGATTTAACTTTGGAATGGCTGTTTTTTGAATTGCAATGATGGAGATAAGGTATAGGGGACGTTTGATGGTAATGATGAAAGTCAGAAATATCGCTGGTGGGCAATAGATAACAATTACAAACACTTTTTTCTTTGATGACATCCTTCTTATCCTTTTGATTCTCTGTCATCTGAATCAACTCTACTGTCTCTGTAAGTAACTGACTTTTTATAATACTGTAGTTTCCATGACAATATTTAATACTCCGTGGAAAACTACTTTGACTTTCCCACTGGGTAATTACCTTTTTTCCGGTCTTAACTGATAATCTTTATTCCTGTTGAGACTTCTTTCTATCTTTGTTTCACTACGTTGTCTCACGATTTTATTTAATTGTCTAACTCTACTCAGCACTAAGTACCCTGCACTCGACTCCAGCCATTCACTAATCCTATGAGATGAATTTTTATTTTGCAGAAAAATTCAACAAATATTTTTCAACTTTAATTATTCTTTTATTTTTATTCTACTCGATGTTTCCAGTTTAGCTTTCACTGGATAATTCTGATAACTTCCCTTTGATTCATTTTGTTAATGAAAATTTTTCATCAAGTTTTAATAAGTAGATTGCCTTTGAATACATATTTCTCCAAACCTTTCTAGATCGTCGTGATTTTATCATTATTAGTTCTACTGAAATTTCTTACAGAGATTACATTTATTTTCCATAAATGATTTTCTGTACCAATAACCTTTGGATTTTTATTTTTCCAAACTTACTATTATTTTTCATCATGTTTTTTTATTGTCTTTTATTTTATGATAACAAAAAGTCAATCAGATTGTATTCAACTATATCCACTTGGTCATCAAAATGAGCATGCGTACAAACTACTTTATCATCATGTGTATCGAATGTTTACATTTTAAAATAAAACTTTGAAATATTCAGCAACTAATGAATGGTTTTATAAATCAAGGTGATTATTTTTATTAGTCATCATTGGATTTTTTTTTCATTCAACCATTATCCGCCTACACTCTAGACAAAGTGATTAACGATTGCTTTTTCTCCTGCTGGATAGTAAATTTGAAAGAACAAATAGGTTACAAAGTTGTTGGTAAAAATTTCTAGTCATTCCATTTAATGATTCAACATTCGTTTTATTTGTTCTAGAAATCTGTTGACCGAAGTTCAATTTCCACGATTTATTTAGCGTTAAATTTACAATAAATTTTCGGATACTGTTATTATCATCATTGATAACTATAAAGGGTCAGTAACGCGATTTAAATTTACATGCACAAACCACTTATTGAATCCGATAAATCAGATAAACAGATTATCCACTTTATTAATGAATTATTGGAAATCTATGCGTTGGAATATAATATAATTATGATGAATATTGATAAAGAGTATCATTGAGTTACTTGGTGAAAAAAGAACAACAGTACAGTGACTGTTTCAGACGCGGATCGCTTCTAGACTGCCACTGGTTCTGACGCGGGACTTTATTGGAGATCGCGCGTCTCGACGCCGTCCGATGAGAATCATGTTGCGACTGTGCAACAACGAAATATACTTTTATGAATCTCAAATCTCAACCTGGTACCTGATATTACTGTATTTGTGAGATACACTTGATTATATTGTTGATGGCTTCAAAGTTTTCTTCATATCAATTGGTCGTAAACCGGATTGATATTACGATACATATAAAACAGGGTTTTCTGAACTTCCTGTTCTATTATGACCTCGAAACAACAAACTAGCAATCGGCCATGACTTGAAGAGTCGTTCAGAAGAATAGATTCGGTCGAAATGTAAGTTGTTCTGTAACCCATTGGAATTATTGGTATATATAGAAATAGCAATTTTACTTTGCCCAGCAGACGAGTTTTTTTCTGCTTCACCGTTTGCTTCTACTGCTCCCCAAGCTCCTGTAGTTTCAAGCGTGCAATAATTGAAAGGACTGAGTCATAGGCAAGATGATCCACGATACTGCTTATTTATATTCATATTTTTCGGAATGAAGTATGTGTGTGAAGAGTAAGTGATGCTTCAGTTGGTGGAGATTTTGAAATGGGTTTGTTGGCCTAAGTCTGTCATCAATGGTTGATTAGATTTTTCTCTTCTGTTTCTGCTATTGGATAATTTATCAAAAATATTTAATAATTCTAGATATAAAGAAGGTAATTCAATTTATTTAAAGTCTATATTTTTGGTGAAATGTTGTTGAATATTGTAAGCTATTTATGTTTGTAAATTAACCATGATTTGTTGATAGCAACACCAAACTAATGAATAAACATCAGTACGTAACTGTGATTCATTACGATTAAACATGAATTGTGTCTGTTGGTTAATTTGTCTATTTGTTAATTCATAATTAATTATTCTTTCAATCTAATAAACAGAAGATTTCTATTTCTATTTTATAAATTTTTGTGGAGTTGTTTCAATTTTTTCAAAACAATGTCAAAAAAAGCTTTGATCATAAAAATGGGATTCACAATTTTTTAGATCATTAATTGACGATAAAGATAAATTCGAGATAAGTTATTTTGTAGCCGTTGTTTACAAAGTATTAATTTTATGGATCAAACATGTGCATTGATGTTTCGTGGTCTACATGAAAGTAATAAACTAATCTGTGTAACCAATGGAGAACTTGATGAAATTTTTTTTTAAACAAAGATCAAAAGTTTTAACTAGTTCAAAGAAATTGAGTTACTTTGTTGTTTAATTTTGAAACTGTAAGTATAACAATTCAATGGAAGTATTTTTTGGTTTAAATTTTCTTGAAAGAAGCATTGAATAGAGTGTTATATTCTTTTTTCACTTTTTGTTTAATTATTCACTTAGATTAAAAACTTTGACCGATCAACCCATTTCGTGCTCCCACCAACTGGACTATTGTGTTTAACAAAGAAAAGCAATTGATATGATGTCACATTTTTTATGCTAATTTTAACTTCAACAATGTTTGACTTAAATATTAGCAAAGTCAGAAAAACCTTCGTTATGAAATGGATATCAAATATTTTCACATAATTTTGAAAAGTAAATAATTAAACTACTGATTGAAATGAAGGGATGATAAGGAGAACATAGAAGATGGTGAATAGTTCATTGATGCTGTCTATATTTTTGTGGTGCATATTAATGTGGAATACTTGATTCTATAATATTTATTCACAAATTAGAATATTAAAAAAGTCATTAAAAGTTTCATAAATGTTATAATTTAATTGTGGTTTTAGACATTTTTTTAAAGCTATAAAATGTTCTTTTTATAGCTCCACTATTTTAATGAGATAAGTTGAATAGAATCACCATATTTAATAAAGCCTGCATTTTTAGAAGTTTTTGTTAACTTTGTAAAGTTAAAAGTTGATCTCCAAAATTCACCAAAAATTCATTGGTACAAAAAACAAAAAATGAGTAATTATTTTTAAGTACCAGTTATTTTATGGTTTGTAAAATTGTCTGATTATCTTTAGCAAAACAAATTAATTACAACTTTTTCCACAGAAATATCTTGATCACTTATAACCAGTCTAGTTGTTTGAAAATATTTAATTTTTTATCCTCTAGCGTAAAGTAATTAACAAAATTCTATATAACCTCAACACAAAGTTTTTTCCAGCGTTATTTTCAATAGCACTGGCGATTTATTTTTAATTATAAAAACACTTAGACATAAAAATATATGAAATAAAATTAATTAAAGAAATTTTGTTTTGATTAGCCTTTACTACGTTCAGTGTTATTTTAAACTTTTCATTTCAATTAAATTTTAACAAAAAATTTAAAACTGTTTAAAAAAAAAATAGTGTTGGATAATTTTGCTCTTCAAACATGTCAGTATATTGAGGAATAGAAACTTAGAATTCCTTGTGTTTACAAATAAATTAATTATTATTTACTTAACGAAGCATTAATCACAGATTAAAAAGTATACTAAATCAATATTTACCATTCCACCCAATGTTTTTAAACAATATTTATTGGTTACAAGTTGTGCAATCGATAAAAAAATGAACAAATTTAAAGTTCTCCTTTCAGCTTCAAAAATAATTATTACGAATTGATACTAAGAAACAAAATAAATCTGTGATCTCTAATGATAAAACAAATTACACTTCATGTAATTAATGTGATGTTTTGTCCTTTAATTGCAGTTTCGTAATAGCAGTTCGTTCACTTCTAACAACGACGAAGATAAACAATTAACACAAGAGGATAACGGTCGACTTCACAATGCCAGTTTACCTAATAAGTAATTTAATAAACTGATCTTGACTGTAATTGCATAAGGATGTTCCTTAAATGTCTTCAGGTAACCTAATTTATCTTGGTCTAAAATTAAATTTCATTCGACAAAAGACTTGCATGTCGATATCCTGAAATTAAATAAACGCTGCTTAACATTAACAATTTATTTAACGTTCACCAGTACATTCATGAAAAGTACCTCACGATTAATTATATTTGAATAAAATATAATCCATGCTGAAATGAAATCAATGTAGATTCAAAAATATTTTCATACTAAATACACTTTCGAATAAATTGATTTCAATAAAAATATGTTAACTCGATTTATTTCTAGAATATTATTTTACGTGTGTATCGAACATAATATTAAAAAGCTATAGGGATATTTTATTACAAAAAAATGATGGACTTAATGAAATTCCAGCCAGGTCGGCACAAAATGCTTGAATGCTCTTTCACATGATAGATTCTCATATACGAATCTTATTTTGATTCTCCGGGATTTGGGTAAAATAAATCACAAGAAATAAAAGCTGGGACATTTGGATATTTATATTATAATAGAGCTCGAGAAAATCCAGACTTACAAAAGAGTATAGGAGTCTATTTTTTAGTTTATTAATATAAATGTCAAAATAACGTGCCACGATAATAATTTATTGATAGAATAAAATAAGGACAAAAAATCTTCTGTGGAGTAAAAGCAGTTTGTTTTGTTATTTATTTTGGTCAACTTGATGCAAAACTATACGGAGAGAATTTTTTTATTAAATGCAAGTGCAAAAATGACAAGTGCACCCGAGTTAAAATATAATACATAAATGTATTCTTTACATACTATTCCCATCCTTTCTATCCTAGATTCAATCTTTTTATCTTAATATTATTCATTTTCATTTTTTAAGTAGAAGAAATTAGGATATAGACAGAATAGTCTGATTTCAACCTCATAAATTGACTTGCTTATGCATAGAAGTTCTTATGGAAATAGTTAAAATAAGGTTACGATTCATATAATGGATTAATTTTCCAAAAATTATTATATTTATTAAAAATTGAATTGTCTCAAATTATTCGTTAAAACCTAATAATGAATTGAATAAAATTGCTCTTTCGAATATGAACATGATCAATATTGTAATAACTCCCATAATAGTCATACTTTTTCGATAATTCATAATTCTAAGTATGAAATAAAAGTAAGATGAAGCTAAGGTAAAAAATAATAAAACTAGAATAAGTTTAGGATAAAATTGGAAAATTTTCATCCTACGGAAATACTGATGTGTTGCGTATTCTAAATTTCTTCAAGAACTCGAAATTTACTATCGAATAGAAATATTTTTACTTCTAAATTTCGAAACGTGCACTTGTCATTTTTGCATTTACACTTAGTGAAAAAATTCTCTGCGTGTACTTG